TCCCATGTATCTTTTATGCAATTATTAAATTATTATTAAAAATTGTTAAAAGAAAGTGTTAAGAGTAATGGTATAAGTGTGTTTGAAGAAAAGACAAGAATTTTAAAGCTGAATAGGGCAATGTGCTTTATACCATAATAATATTTAGATTTAAATGTTTGATACACTTTTTTTTTTTTTTTGGTGGAACCGGGGATTGAATTCAGACCTTGATGCTTTCCAGACAAGTGCTGATTTTACTGAGTCATCTCCCCAGGCCTCTTGATAAACATTTTAATCACCATTTCTTCCACTTGCTAAAACTGCCAGGTGGGTACTGTGCCAACACAGTAACAAGATTAGAGGAAGGCACATCCATGCACACAGCATGAAAATCCAATCATCACATTCATGAACCGAAGAGCTTAGTACAACTTTCATTGCCAGAACACAATCTACTTTAAGAATAGCTTTTTCTGATGACTTAATATCTGATTTACATAAACTATGCTATGGAAATTTGACTTTTGGATGAGTGAGATGAATTACCGAAGTTCTTATATCAGTTTTGTTTGTAGGTCTACCTTTCTCTCAGGCCCCATTAAATCTGTATATGGCACTCAGTGCTGAGACATTAGAAGGTTATTTGTCAATGAGACTCAGTTAATAAATAATGATGAAAACATATGGTGTGAGATGAAAAACATAATATACATCACCAGTTCAGGTGTATCTTCTATCTTAAGAAGTGTGGAATCCATTTCTATGCAGAATTTCTTACTGTCTTCAAAGTTGTTAATTTCCACCGAGAAGTAGTAGCAGTTCTCTCCACAACATGACCATTTACGTTTGCATGCACTCTGTTCCTTTCCTTGAAAACAAAAACTTTCCTTAGAGATGACTCAGTATAAATCCTGAGAGGTATATGATGGCCTAACAGAGAGTGAAATATTTCCTAGTCCTTCTAAACTCATTATATTTCATGAAATGGATGTGTTCCATTTTCACTTTTGGAAAGAACCCTGGTCTAGGAATGGTGTCAGATGACTTATGTCTCTCCAAGTTTATGGATAGTACTGTTCATATTTCTCAAAAGGTTATTATTGTATCTCACAATCTTTATGGTAAAGACATGATCCTGGGCAGAGTTTCTTCACATTGTCCAGAGCAACAGCTATAGCTACAAAGCAGATCCAATTTAGTTTGTAATCTAAGTATGCTATCAAACGCTAAAAGACAGAGAATATGCTAAAGAAGCTTTGAGGGTTGTTTTGGTATCAAAAGTGTTAATTTGGGAAACTATGATGTGAAGTAACATATGAAATAACACAGAAAACTCTTAACTTGTGGATTTCTGACATTGTTTCAATTGAATAAAAGTTGGACTACTCAGTTAGTTTCTATAAGAAAATCAAAATTGAGAAGTGGACGATGAAGGACACTGAGACGACACCTGCTTACCTCTACCCACACTCTTTCTCTACACACCTGTGTTGGTTTGTGCTAATGGGAATGGCAAGCTTTGGACAGAGAACTCATTCTCTTGTGTTACATTTTCCAGAAGAGGCTTTGTGGGCTGAGCTGTCAGGTCACACTGGAAAACTTTATCATGTATGGTTAGTTCAAGGGAGAAAAAGCAAGGCACTGAAGAAAAGGCACAGTTTTAACTTGAGTACCTCATTTAATCATCAGGATTAAGGGCCATTTTTACTCTGGTGCTTTTTAAGGCATCAATCTCTTTGTCTCTGATTTCCACATCCCCTTCTTATTTATTGAAAACATATGAAAGATAAGCTTTCTTACTGGACTTTGAAAGATACAAAGCTCGGTTCTCCACAATTCACTCATTACTACAGTGGCAGTGGGCAGCTGAAAGATGTGATTAGTGATGTGACAGCAAGTTACAGAGTAGTATTGGAACTGCGAAGAAAGATGGAGCTACTGAATGTAAGTGGAGCACCTGCCTGGCAAGCGCAGGGTCCCGCATTAAATCCCTGGTACTGGAGAAAGAAATGTAAGTGGAAGAAAAAGATGACAGCATGGCAAGGCCTCACATTACTGAGGGTGATGATGTTAAGTTTGCCTTTTTCCTGGGGAAGAAAAAGAAATAGGAAAGTAAAAAGGGTAGAATTACAAAATGCTAAAATGTTGAAACCAGTTTTCCCTGTTAGGCAAATAAACATGACATGACACATTAATTCCAGCAGATGGATTGTGTTAAGAGATGTAAAAACATAAACAGAAAACAAGTTGTTAAAATACTTTATCTGGATGCTAAAGTATTAAATTTCAGATTAAATCCTACATTCTCAACATTTTTAATTACTGCACCAAAAATAGAGTGAACACAGTAGACTTAATTATTTATATACTCTTTATAATCCCTTTATTATATAAAGCTTACTTCAAAAGCCAGATTTCAAAGTATCATTTAATTGCTAGGAAAAGGTTAGATAAATGTGCAAAAATCCTGGGATCATAAAGAAAGATAAATTGAGCCGTAATTCTTTTTCTGGATGTTTCTCTAATGTGCAATCCTATAGCTATAACATCTCAGGGGTGATATCGACCTTGCTGTTAGCAGTTAATAGTCACTCAAAAGATCTTAATAAGTGAACTCTCTCTCTGCTTTGCACAACACTAAAATCTCCAATAAAATTTCAATTTCTTATAGTTGATTCCAGGAGAGAGACCAAAACAAATGGCATTTTAATTTCCTTTCTTTTACGTTACCATTATCCTGGGAAATAGAATTTGAGATGTAGAGACGTCTTTGATTTATGTTTCAGTCCACAACTTGTCAGCATGAGAATCATGCTCAGTATGCATCACACCATAGATGCCAATGTTTTTCTAATCTCTCAATTTATAATAGTTCTTTGGGAAAACGTTAGTCATTCGTTTTGTAGCATAAACATATTCTGAACATTTGTAAATTTAAGAAAAAGCTTTGGAAAAATCCATGGTCACGATTTTCTGAAATGGTTAGATGGTTTGGTTGTTACTTTTGTGTTTCGGTCACAAAATGATAAGAGCAATGCTTCAGTGCTTGCAATGTGATATGAATTATTCTTAGTGCATTGGCTGTGTGAATTCTTTATTCAAGTCTTACGATAACCTACGCTGTTGGTGATGGTTGCATGATAAAAATATCTGGCTATCTTTCCTAATTTGTTCAGTTTTTTTCTTTTAGACTTATTTTTTCCTTTATTACAATATTATTATAAAAATTGTTTTTATTATAAATATTTTTATTAAATGGTTTTTTGAACTTCAGTTATTTTTATGCTAAGCTAGAAATTTTGCTATATTTGCACATGATACACATAATTAACATTCATACAATGTTTTAAGGAAACTATAGTTCAATTTATTTTTTATTTTTTGTATTTAGTATAGGGTTTACAGGGTGTCACTACACAGATTGGACTCAATTCTTTTTTTTTTTCCGGTACTGGGCATTGAGCTCAGGACCTTGTGCTAAGCGATTATTCTAATGAGCTATCTCCCCAACCCCCTTCCGGGTTTTTAGGCTCCCAAACTCTGGGATTACAGGCGCGTGCCACCACGCCCAGTTTCAATCACTGTCTCAGCATGCCCTGGGGGGAGGGCCTGCATGACAGGCCTGGGATGAAACCCCCAGCCCCTGCATCTGCCTATGCAGGCACTTTAATCCACTGAATTTCAGGGCCAACCCTGAAATTATGGTTCAATTTAAAGATATTTATTTTCAAAGAAAAACTTCTGTTATTGTCTTAAAGAACTTTATATTTTGGCATATCTTACATAAGTGATTTCTAACTGTTAAAAAATAAATTTCATTTATTTTATCCATAGCTCTTCGAGTTAAGAATAATTGTATTAAGGATAACCCGCTTAGGTCCCCCTCCTGTTCCTCTCAGACAGAAGCTTTCTTTATCCCAGTAAATCTATTCTACTCTTAAAAAAAAGAATAAGTGTGTCAAATAAATAAAAGAATGTGGTTGTAGTCTCTATATATGCCAGTTCCCCATGATTATTGTAATTATTAAGTACTGCATTTAAAAAAAATTCTTGAAACATAAACTACTCATTAAACTGCCCTTGCACAAAATAAAACCAAAACCTGGCATGAATCTCTTTTTGACATTGAAGAAGAGAAATAGAAAAAAAATATAGCTTTAGTATCTATATGTTAATTCATAAAGAAGATATTATAAGTAGCACATGGGAATGTGGCTCAGTGGTAGAGCTCTTGTCTTGTACATACAAGTTCCCGGGTTCAAACCCCAGCTTCACAAAAAATATGTTTGTAGGGAAGTAAGTGTATCTTCCCATGGCTGAACACTGCTCTAGGACAAAAGGGCGTAACACTTCTCTGTTCACTGAATGTTACTGTATGTAATTTTCTGATTTTTCTTAGAGTTTGTTAGACAATTATAAATCTTGTACCTACAATTAAAAGTGGCAAAATATTAGCATGACAATTTGACATTATCCAGTTTGTGTTTGGTGTTGTTATTAATGCATGTCATATTTGAAGTCAAGAAGAGCTTGAGATGAAGTATTTCAAGCCATGAAAGAAAACAATCTCCATTCCTCTTCTGGGTATTTTCCCAAAAGAACTGAAAACATCATACCACATTGACATATGTGCACCCATGTTTACAGCAACACAATTTGTCATAGCTAAATTTTGGAAACAACCCAAATGCCCATCACCTGAGGAGTGGATGCAAAAGATGTGGCATTTTTATACAGTGGAGTATTACTCAGCTATAAAGAAAGATAAACTTGAGGCCTTTCTAGATAAGTGGATGCAATGAGAGGATATACTGACAAGTGAAATAAATCAGACCCATATGTGTAAATATCATATTGTCTCCCTATTGTAAGAATCTGAAAGAATAAATTAATTCTGAAAGGAATAATAAGTATAGTAAAATGGAAAGCAATTGGACATATGGAATGAAAAATCAAGAGGAGGGAAAGGCAAAAGAGGAAGAAAAGTGAGGAGGAATATCATGAAAGTATATTTCAGGATTGCTGAGATGATTATAGTACTCAGTTCCATCAGTTTTTATTTTTTTTTTATAAGTAGCAGTTATGGAATAAAGCATCTCCTTAGGCAGAGCACAGTGGCCGAGTTCAATCCTCCACATGCCCCGCCGGCCCTGTCCCGGGGGTGCACTGAGGTGGCGACTGAGACTGGGTGTGGTGGCATGTCCCTGTATCCCAGCTCTTGGGAGGCTGAATACAGGAGGATCACTATGAATCCAATCTATGTAGTGAGACCCTGTAGACCCTGTACTAAAATACGAAAAAAAAAGTTAACTTGAAAGTACCAGTTAATGTTTAAAACTCTCACGTTGACCAACTCTATATGCTATTATCTATAGTTTGAGCAACTACATCAGAGACAGAAAAGTGCAATGCAAAAACCATGG